TATATATATATATGATTGAGGCCAGGAAACAGATGAAGTCATTGCTAACCTAAAATCAGCTAATTTGAATGTACCGAGAGATACAGGATGAATGAAGTCCCTGGTTACATCTGCCAACTCATGCATCCAGAGATGGTAAGTGGTTTCTGAACACTTTGATTTATTTATGGCAAACCAAAATGGAGTATGAGAAGGCTGGAAAAAGACAGAGTGCATGGTCCTCAATGGTTCAATAGGAGAAAGGAAGCCCTTCATTCAGGCTGCTACATCTGAGTACAACTATTCACTGTTGTGCACCCAAGGACTTCTTGGCTGCAGAAATCAGTCAGTCAGAGAGTCCAGAAGCCTACTGACTGATATTGTCAGATATGTTAATGATAGGTGACTTTCTCTTTTCCCAATTTTTTGAAATGTTGACAAGTAAGTGACTATTTCATATTTCTGTTATAGGCCTTTCTCTCTTCATATATATATATATATATATATGTGGCTTTATTTAGTTAGGCTTATTTTTCGAGTCAGGGTTTCTCTGGGTAGCCTTGGCTGCTCTGGAACTAGCTCTGTAGACCAGGCTGGCCTTGAACTCACAGAGATCCCCCTGCCTCTGCCTCCCAAGTGCTAGGATTAAAGGCGTGTTCCACCACTGCCGGCCTCTTCCTTTCTCTTTTAATGCATTTATTTTATTCATATAAATGTTTACCCTGCATGTATGTCTGTAGCCACATGCCCATAGAAGTCAGATGAACAGGAGTTACAGATGGTTGTGAGCCACCATGCAAGTAGGAATTGAACTCTGGTCCTCTGTAAGCCAGTGATCTTAACCATTGAACCAGGTCTCCAACCCAGGTCAGTCTTTCTTTGTTTTGTAAGACTAGGGAATGAACCCAAGGCTTCCAATCATCTAGACTGGATAAGTGTGTCCTAAGTATCTAAATTCTCAGCTCCACACCTTTTTGAGAGAGTGGAAGAATCACTTTTTTAGCAGACAACTTTTGTTGTCATAGAGATCATGTGCCTGAGTGAAGATTTGCAGATTAGCATTAGTATATCTTTAGATAACTTCTGCTCTTTTGAAAGTCTAATTAAGTGGACTGGCTTACTTCAGTTCTCCCAGACATGACAATGTGACCTTGGGCATTGGATGGTCTGTTCCTGGGTCCCTTGGTTCCCCAAGTATAACCTTCTCTTTTGATGTTCTGTGGATGTAGGCATTCAGTGTTCATCGTGTGTGGATAGGGCCAGAGTCTAGGCTTATTAGTCTCAAATTTTATTTGTTTGGGAGTTGGAGAGTGTCTTTTTCGATAGCCCAGACCCACAGCCTAAAACACACATCAATCCTCCTGCTGTAGCTTTCTGGGTCCTGGGATACAAGAGTGCCATCACCACTCAAAGCATGGCTTGTTCTTGAATTCTTAAATGGGTGTGGTCACACACACACACACACACACACACACACACACACACACACACACACACACACACACCCGCATGAAATTCTTGCACACCAATCAAAAGCTTGTTCTCCCAGCTGCCCACTTCACTTCCCATTACCAGTCACAAATGCTTGATAAGTATTTGGTAAGCGAAAGAATGGCCCCTCCAGTCCAGACAATTAGGCATGCCTGCAATCCCAGTGTTTACCAGTATGAGACAGCTAGACTGTTGAAAGTTTGGGCCATCTTGAGCTACATTGTCCAGGGGTGGGATGGAGGGGTGTTCACCTTCAAAGAGCTTCTGATGTACTTAATGAAGTAAGATGTATGTACTGACTACTGAGTGCCAGCTAGAAAGCCAGGTAGGAGATATGGCTAGGGTACTTGGTTTCCCTTTATATAAAAACCATATTTAATTAGTTATTTTAGTCATTTAGTCTCTCTGTATGTGTATGTGTTCACAATTTGAGGGAGTCAGTTCTCTCCTTCCCATGTATGGGTCCCAAGGGCTGAACTTAGGTCATAAGGCGTGGTGGCGTGCACCCTGACCCCCTGAGCCACGTCCCTGCCCATGTTTTCCACTAATGAGTGCTTTTGTATACATCAATGCTACATAAAATGCAGCACTGGTCCACATTGGCTGACATGTTTAGTGAAGAGACCAGATGACCCTTTCTCTGCTGTGGAGCAGATGATAATGCCAGCTAACCAATAGGCCGTGTTTCTGTGATACTGCAGATGAATGGAAATAATAACTGCATTCCATAAGACCCTTTGCTCAAAATGACAACATTTGGTCAGAATCTGCTGTTGCTCAGACACCTCAAGAAAGGGACAAGAAGGTCAGTGAACAACAGTGGAAGCCTGAGAGTCATCCACCCTAGATGTAATAATTTCCTAAGACTTAACAGCTTATATTTATGCAACAATCAATTGTCTTGACTATATCATATTGTGGAAGGGTGACTGGAGAAAATATGATTACAGGGGGTCTTGTACTATTGTGGTTTTTGAGATAGGTTCTCAAAATGTAGAGTGCTGGCCTCAAATTCTGGATCCTTCTACTTCAGCCTCCCGAGTGGGAACTTATAATTTAAGCACTCTTCTTGCTTTCATTACTTATTTGCCTATCCTGGCACTCGCTCTGGAGACCAGGCTGGCCTCCAACTCATAGAGATCCACCGGCCTCTGCCTCCTGAATCCTGGGATTAAAGGCGTGAGCCACCAACACCCGGATGCTTTTTTTTTTTTTTTTTTAACATTCTCAAACTGTAGTTCAGGTTTATGGCAACCCACCTGCCTCAGCTTCCTCAATTTAAAAAATAGAGATACTTTTTAAAAATTAATTTTGACAGTGAATAACTCAGGCTGTGACTAATGCTAGCTTTATGTTTATAGGATTAAAATGTGCTTAAAGGCCAGGTATGCATGTACAGGGGATGCATGCCTGTTACCCCAGCACTTGAGAGGTAGGGGCAGGAGGGTCTACTGGTAAAGACTGTCCTCTGTTACATAGGGAGTTTGAAACCAGCCTAGACAACATGAAACTTATCTCTCAAAATAAAATAAAATGAAATTGATAGAAAGTCCTGACTCTCTTTACAAAGGATGCTATCTACCCACATGCTGTAACAGCAGTCAAAGGTCGGTAGGTGGCTCTGCTCCTTTTAAATAAAACTAAGGTTTGCAAAAGACAGAGAGGGAGCACAAGCCACTAAGTAGAACCTTTAATCAAAACAATAAACAATATTCTGGAACGATGGTCTCTGGTTTAGAATAGTTTGGAGGCTTGAAAATTAAACCCAGAGGAAAAGTTGCAAACTGTGTATGGGAAATCAATTTGTTAAAAGACCAGGGAAGATACTATATTTTGAAGAACGTCCATTACTAAAGGGAAGATGAATTCAATGTTTTTGTAATTTACTGCCATTTAGAATGAAAGGAAAGTAAGTGTTGAAACCTTTTGAACACGCATTTATCTGAAGCTATATACTTTTGGTCACTTTACAGAAATGTTAGATGTGTAAAGTTTGTGTGTGGGAAAAAGCTTGCCTTCTTGGTTCTCAACTTTTAATTAGTTGTCATCTTAGCTTTATACTTAAAAAATAGCCAGTAGGGCATTATAGCATTAAAATTTCTTTCCATCCTAGTTCATAGTTTTCAGCCTTTCAACATTCTAGGAGAAATCTGTCTAAAACCAAAGAACTTTGTTTCAAGCCCTTTGGAAAGACAGGAAGCCTGATTTTATTTTTATCTGCATAAAGAAAAATGTATTTTAAGCTAAAATGCAGTTAAGGAACCCTAATTTTTTTTTCAGATTCTTCCAAAAATCGTCAAAGACGCAGGTGTTTTACAGTTGCAATGATTCCTTTCTGGTTCCAGAGAAGATGACCGCTTACATTTGAAGTGAGATATGTATTTTAGGCATTCAAGTTTGCTAAATAATTCCCATTTTAATTTTTAAAGTTGCATTATTTATTTATTCTTTTATGGGGGGGACGGGGGACGGTTATCACCGAGGCGCCCTAGTGGAACTTTTGCGCGTCCGTTTTCTCCTTCGATTCTAGGGATCAAACTCAGGGCTTTGGGTTTGGCGGTAAGCGCGTTTGCCTGTAGCGTCGTCTCTACCAACGGACCCGTATAGGCTTTTTGTTTTTGTTTTTGTTTTTTTTTTGTGCAAAACTAACGCTATCATGAAAATAAATGCTGGGATGGAGTTTTGAAGTAATATTCTCAGCTGTCAGACTGTAATCCGAAGATAGGTTTTTGTTGTTGTTGTTGTTGTTGTTGTTGTTTAAAGCAACCAATCACTCCTCCACTCAAACAAGACCTTTTGGAACTGTTTTTATAAAGAACACGTTTAGAAATATTTTGGATGGTAAAAGAGGCTATTTTCTCGCTGTCGTTTTGAATTAGTAAGTAATGATTGCATGACACGTGGGTCGTTGCAGTATTTCGCTAGTTGCTCTCCCGGTGCGTAGAGAGCCTCTTAAAGCGTGGAGAAACTGGGAATAAAACAGAGATCCTTGGCTGTAAGCGATTCTTGTTCCATTTAAATTACTTCAAAAGTTCGGCTTTTAAATGTTAACTCTAGAGCCACTTATTTAGCCGTCTTTGCAAAGTTTGCCTTTTGAAAAACAACACCACACCAAAAGTCGGAACAAGCCGGATGAAAAATGAACAGTGTTTCTCGGATGTGAATAAGCACACACACCATTTAACTAGAAAGATGGATCGCCATAAGAAGAAGAGACCATAGAAACAAGAGAACTATGTCACACTTGGCCCACAGGGTGCCTGTTGGGTGGTCATTTGCATCTATTATTTTTGATGACAAAGAGCCGATCGGTCGAGACTCAATGTGAGTGATGTACTGAACATGAAAAATTCGATTATCCCTCTCCCCCCCCCGCCCCCCAAATTTTAAACTTTGGGACTTGGTAGAAAAGGAACAGCGGTCCAGTTGGCGGGGTCTCTCTTGTTTCAATACTCTGCATTTTATAGTAGGCGATCGCACGCGGGCTAAGATGGGGGGAGGAGGGCAGACCGGGGAACACAAGAGCCGGGATGGTGGAAGGATGGAGGGGCGCTTTTCACCTTGACTCGGGAGCTGGCTGCGAGCAGCAGAGTCAGGACAGGCGGAGCAGAGGAGGCTCCTCGCTGCTCCCCGGCACGGGGGGCGTGGCGGGGGCGGGAATTGCTAAGCCGCCAGGCCCTCAGGTATAAGAACAGCAGGTCCCCCCCGCCCTCGGTGAGCTCCCCAACGCTCCAGGTCTCTACTCATCGCGGAGGCCAGGGCGGGCCGTTGGGTTGGCCCTCCAAGGGATGCTCTCTCCGCAGCGCCGAGG